CTCGCCTCCTCCGGAAGCCCTGAGCCGGGGACGCCCAGCGGGGCAGCTCTCTCCCGCGGAAGGGCCCACCGGGCGGAGGAAGGCGCCCCCGGCCAGGCAGGAGCTTTGGCCTGAGCCCTGGAAGGCCCCGACACCCTCCTTTCCTAGCCGGAGCCCACCTCGCAGGGAGGGCGGGGGTGAGGAGCGAGAGCCGCTGGGCAAAACAGGACAACATTTCTGCTCCTCGGCGCTCCAGGACCAAGAGCAACGGGAGTGTGGCTGGATCTGGTGGGAACGTGAGATGGCAAAACAGCCTCTCCGTGCCCCCTTGCCATGGCTCTTACAGGTGGATTGCTCTACGGGACCTGCAGGCACGATCCAAATAAATGGAACTAGAGGCAGGCATTGAGAAGGCTCTGGGCTGGAACGGGTCGTGCTCAGAGCAGGCCATGTCTCTGTCTAGGAGGGCCAGATATCAGGGACGGGATACTCGATGGGTATGATTGCAGTTACCCCATTTAGCACAATTCAGACTCCCAGTACTTGAAGCTCATGCTTGGGCCAGGCAAGGGGAGAGAGCAATGAAAACCGTCTCCTGGAGCAACAGAAGGCAGCCCGCCAGAAGTTCTGACTTGGACTGCGTCCAGGAGGCGGAGACCCCAAAGCTTCAACCCAGCCCTGAAAAGTGAAAGCATGCCCATCAGCCTTCACACCTACAGGGCAGTCATAAGTGGAAAAAGATTTCTACAATATACACTGTCACAGCATATGTTGCTCGTGTTTCTTTTCCAGGGAAGAAATTAGGAAGGGAGGGTGGTGGTGGCAACCAGAAGCCAAGGACGGAAAGATTCTTCCACCTCTTCACCCCTCAGCCGCAGAGCCCTGCTCTCAAAAAGACATCAGCACTCTTGCAGCAGATTCGTCAGGGCTGGCCACACTTCTTCATGCTGGGAGGTCCATGGGAGTGGTGACAACCCGGGAGAGATTGAAGAGCAGTGCACACAAGGGGCTGTGGCATGGCCCCAGCACTCCAGTGGGGCAGGATTGCCCCTGAGGTCTCACAGCTGCCCCTGCTCCACCCCTGCCAATATTGGAACATTCCGTGCAGCACAATCCACTTTATTGACAAAATGCCCCAGCATCAGTACCAAAAAAGAAAAAAAACCAACAAAAAAACACCGCCAACGACTACCCACCCATGTTGCACATTAGCTGCTATGGGCCCCCACGACTGCCATGTCCACCATAGGGTAAGACAGCCTTGAAAATGAAGATGCCCACAAGGATGCTGAGGGCAAGCAGAAGTGCCAGTGCCAAAGCCACATGAAGGGTGGTAGTGACCCCAAAGGCGAAAAGGAAGAGGGTGCGGTGGCAGAAGCTCGGCTGTCCAACAGACTCGTAGTCAGGGGGATAAATGGAGTAGACCCACACGCTGCCTAGGGAGCAAAAGAGGCAGAAATGTAGTGAGAAGGGGGATGTCCACAGCAGATCACAGCCCGGATCACACTGGGTGGGGGGAAGTTGGAGGTTGCCCCCCCCTTTACCCTTCTCCCTCCAGCTGTGCAACTACACACAGAGTGGAAGAGGCTGTCCAGGACAAGGGTAGCCCAGCAGCTCAGGGCCTGGTGAACTTGAGCTGAGGTATAAACCCCGGGGATGTTTGTGCTAGCCCCAGGCCTCCCCCAAGTCCCATCACAAAGGGCAGCCTTTGGGGTTCCCTCGGATGGTTCCCTCAGATGGCTCAATAAAAAGAGTAACCCGCAGGCCGGAGGGGGGGAGACGGTGGTCACCTGCAATGAACCAGGCACAGAGGAAGAGAAGGGTGACGGCCCGGAGGTGGCGGGTCAAGGCGCTTTGCTGATCTGTGCCAGTCCCACACGGAACGCAGCTGAGGCCGAGAAGGAGGAGCACAACAATGCTTAGAAGCATTAAGTAGATAGGAACGAGAGGCTGTCGTGGACATTGGTCAAGATAAACGGCTCCTGTTGGTGAAGGAGCCAGAGAGCAGGTTTAGTAGCTTGCGTTGCTGGTTCCCTTCCCACCCATCACCCAGTGGCTTACCCTCTCCTGGACCTGCTTGCCCATCGCCTGAAGGCCCTGCCATACCAAATCCCAAAGAACAAGGCTCTAGATCACAGGGAACCCCCCCCCCAACTTTTCCTTGTGGCAGGAAAGGAATCCTTAGGGGAGCACAGCACCAGGCCACCAGCTTTGAGGCACCTCTGAGGCAGGAGTGGCAGTGGCCAGAAAAGGAACCGGGAGGGAGCTTGAAGTTAGCGAAGTGGGACCAAAGTTCTGTGTGGGAGAGTTGTTCCTAACTCAAATAGGAGATGCTCACGTGACAGCAGGGAGACTCGGGCTGACCGTGCCTGCTTTTTGTTTCCATGCTTCTACTCTTCCAATTGGCAAGAAGCCAACTTGGCTTCAGCAGAAGAAAAGAAACAGCCATTTGGGCAGCAAGGAGGCACCGATGGAAGGACCACGACGAACCTCAAGCTGTTCCCCAACCCCATCGGACAAAGGAAGGAAGAGGGGGCAGCTACCTGCATGTGAATTTTAGGCAGAAGGTGATACATTACTGCTTTGACTGGATTTTTAGTAATAATTGTGTTTTCCATTTCTCAGAGTGACTTTTTTAAAATGTTTGTATACTTATTGATCTTTGCCTTAATATTGCCTGTTAATGATAAACGATGCCTCCTTATTCATTGTTTGTAGTTTTAAATACTGTCCCTTAATGATATTAACCACTGTTGTATACGCACTGTTTTCAACTTTAGCTATTGCCTTTCATTGTTGCAAGCTGCCTTGGGTCCTTCTCAAGGAAAAAGGTGGGGTCAAAATATTTTAGACAGTCACAGACAGACAGACAATCAGAAAGCTGTGATGAAAGCCAGTGGCAGGACAAGAGCTTTCACCCTTTCCAGATGCAGGTCAGCTCCAAGAGTGAAGCATTTATCAGCAAGGGATCTCCTCCTGCCCCTTGCAGTTCCTGGATCTTGGCCGCTTCGAAAGAGACCCCAAACACCCTGAAGACATTCCAGAGAAACTGAATGGAAACACCTCCTTTTAACCTTGTTGTAGTTTGGTATTTAACCCTTCCTAGTATTTGTATACTTACTGTTTTTTTGTTTTTTTTGCTTTAGATATTTATTGTCTTTTAAGGATGTAAGCCACCTTGACTCCTTTTTAAGGAGAAAACTGGGGTAAATATATTTTCAATAAATAAATAACTTTAGAGCAAGAAGAAGATACCATTTTACTAAACAGCTGGGCAGGGAAGAAAATCTCTCTCACACTCTCTCTCTCTCACACACACACAAAACAAAACACACAAAACAAAACCACAGTTGGAGCACCGTTGCCCTGCCTGTCTCCCCTCCCTTCCCCTCCTACTCACCAAGAACGATGCCAGAAATGGGCAGCCCAGCAAACAAGGTCTTCCCCAGGACTAAAGGAAAGAGATTTTGAGAGTGTTACAGCGCAAGAGTGGAGCAGCACAAGAGCAGGACTGGAGAGGGAGGGGTAGCAACTTACCCACCAAGAGGGAGTGCATGTAAGACTCCTCCTCTGTGGCTGGCAGAAGTGCCTCTGTGGCCACAGGCTCCTGGTCCTCTGACATGGCAACTGTGGATGGGTGGGGTGGGGTGGGGAAGAGAGGGTCAAGTCAGGGGCAAAAAAGAGGAGCTGGAAACATACCTCACCCTTCAGTCACTGGCTGTTCCCCCCTGCTTAAATAGTCTTTGCCTCTTAGCATCCCCTCACACCCAATGCACAGCTGTGTCTCTTTCCCTGTCTGTTCCTGAGAAGCTCCATTACGGGCTTGGCAGGACCAGGGCTCTGGGTTTCTGCCTGCACTGAAAGGAACGGGCAAGTGGGAATGGGGAGTGGACCCTCCCTCCTTTCTTCAGAGGCACCTGCTCAAAGGTGAGGGAATGAAGGACATGTTCCAGGTGCGCTTGGGACTGCTGTTGACCTTGAGCCCCAGTGCAGGGAGGACAGCCTGTTTCTTAGTAGGGATAGTGTTTGCCCTGCAGCATCCCAGTGACCTGTATCACAGGAAAATATATATATATATTTTTTTTTTGAGGGGGAAGGTACATGCACTCTGCAGATGCCCCTATTGCCCTGGTTGTGGTTATCCTGCACAGCCAGTCTCCAGCCACTGCCTGGCCTAGCCTACCAACTCCATTGGAGCCATGGCTGGCCTTCCCAACTGACTCTGTTGGGAGACCCTGGAGTGGGGTGGGGTGGGGTAGGGTTTGGATTAGCCTAAGCCTGCTGCTTGAGGCAGGAGATAGCCAGGCCTGGGAAGGGACACCAGCTTGGCCTGGGGATGAGGGGTGGCCAAAGGTTCCCCAGTGCAAGCTGATATTCCCTCTTTTCTCACTCCACCCTTCTTGGGAAGAGAGACGTAAGGGTGGGAGGACACCATGGATGCTGGCAAGTCTTTGGGTCTGAGTCCCAAGTCCAAGTCCAAGTCCAGAGCCTTTGGATCAAGTCTCAAGTCCCAAAACCAAGCCTGAGTCCCTATGAAAAAGCAAGGTTCCCCCCAAGGCGGTGGAATGGGTTCTGAGTCATGAGTCACGTCCGGGTTCTTGGGAGGGGGGGAAAAAGTCAAGTCCCCGTCCAATTGCCAGTGTGACCTGAGTCCGACTTGACAACAAGTCTCAAAACGCGAGTCCCCATACCTGGAAGACACACCTGGAAGAAAGGTCCCCCCCCCCAAGGATGGCTGGCTGCTGTTGCCGTGTCTTTGGGCAGAATTCCTTGACTGCAGAGAATGTTTGTGTTCAGAAAATAAAATATGGGCTGGTAACAGTAACGAAGAACAACAGGAAGTATAAACGGCAGCTTTTGTTCCATGTGAAGGACGTGACAAAATCTGACAGGAACGGCAACTTCCCATCTGTCAGGACTGGCCAGTGGCATCTCTTGGCTTACTAGGGCTGGCCCACTCCAGTCGAACTCCCCTCCATGGGGCCTGCTGTATGCTGGGGCCGCAGCCGTGGCCCTTGCTGGCTGCGAGGGCCCCATCCGTGCTGAGTTCTCTGGCTGACATTGCCTCCCCCTCTCCATAGAAAGCTCTCCTTCCCAATGCAAATCCAGCGTGTGAAGGACAGGCAGCTGAGAGCAGGGGGGGGAAGCGGGGGTGGCACTTGAACCCCCCCCCCAAGCTGGTTCCACTACTAACAAGAGCAAGATTTGTCTCCAGCTCAACAGAGCCACATCACGAAAGGCTCTCCTTATAAGAGGATGGCCACGCTTCCGGGCAAAAAGAGCAGTCACATCCTCCCGCACAAGGTTGTGGAGAATCCACAGACTGACTGGCCCCCTCTGTTTGCCACAGAATTGATTTTATAGCAAGCCTCCCTCATAGGGCTTTCCAGGTAAGTGAGACAGGTAAGGAGTGGTTTTGGCAGCCCCCATTCCATCCTGTGAATCTCCAGGTCAACCACGGATTCAAACTCAGATCTCCTGAGTCCAAACTCAGATCTCCCCACCTCCAAACCTCTTTGGCATGACAAGTGCACAGGAGCTACACAGGTGGGATGGAAAGTAACCTGTGGCTTAATCTGAGGCAGGGGCCCAGCTAGGAACTGCATCTTACATGTGGAACAAGAGAGCCCTAGAAAGACAATTGGCTGCACTTCCTGAGGTGAAACCTGACACAGGACTTAACACTAAACTCAGGCTTGAGGCTCACCACCAGGGAACTTTGCTTTAAGCTACGAATCCTCTGGGTTCAAAATCCAGCCAGGACGGTTTCTGGATGTCTTCCTTTCTCCCCGCACGGCGCTTTGCAATACGCAGCCCTGCGCTCACACTCTCTGATATTTATGGATCAAAGCACATGGAAAACGCAGTTACGACTGTTCGCTTCACAGGCACAGGACTCCGACAGTCTCTCCTTCACGCGGCGTGACTGAGCCTTTGCTTGCAAACAACTCCTAGCAAGGGCCCCTGTCTGAAATTATGGCACCAGTTACTGCCCACCAAAGCTGGGTGACATAAGGAGGTGGCCTGGTGGGTGGGCATCGAGTGAGGAGGCAGTAGCACAGGGTACAGAAAGAAGCCCTCTTTCTGTTTTTTGTCACAGAGGGGCGCCACAGGAATGCCTTCCATTTTATATGGGGTGGTGGTGCATATGAGGTGGGAGGGAGAGATAATGACCAGAAGCAGTGAGGGGTGGGGCTGTTGTTAGGTCAGCATGGCTGGAGAAATCATCATGGGGAGGAGGCAGCAGGCCCCTTCCCAGAAAAGGAAGGGACCTCCAAATGCCAGAGGCAGGAGAGGGGTATCAGGCGACAGGTATTTCATTGTCTCGTGTGCTCCCAGAGGCATCTGGTGGGGCCACGGTGAGATACAGGGAGCTGGACACTAGAAGGGCCCTTGACCTGATCCAGCGCACGGCTCTTCTTATGTTCTTAAGCCAAGGAGAAGCTGTAACAAGGGAGCCCACCAATACAATGCCAGAAAGTGAGCCCAGCCCCACACTGCAGGGAGGGCCATGGGGGGGGGCAGGGCTCTCTCCTTACCTGCCTTGTGGAAGTTCCAGTCAGCGGGACGGAATCCCACCCAGACTCAAAGGCTGGGAGCCGAGGTCTCTCTTTGTGACCCCCTCCCCAACTCTTCTCCTGTGCTTGCAGAGGAACAAAGGCCTCCCCACTTCCTGCCCGTGATGACGCCTTCCATGGGACCAAAGTCCTGGCCAGGAGGCCGGGCTAGCCTTGGGGAGGGGGTCCCCTCTGGGAGTCAGAAGCTCCCATGCAGCTGCAAGCATCACCCACCCTCCCTGGGCTCCCATCAGCACTTGCCTCTTATCTTCATTGGCCTTCAGGAAGCAAAGGGTGAATCATGGCCATGTGGGGGAAGGTGCATGTGGGGGAGTGTGTGTGTGTGTGTGGGGGGGGGGGGGTCCAAAAAGCAAAAGAAGCCACCCAGAGAGAGGGAGCAGGAAGAGGTTTATTGCTGTGGCTTTGCCTGGGGGGGGGGCTAGTACAGAGGCGGCAGTTTTCAGGCTTCTTCCTCTGATAGGGGAGAATCTTCTGAGCAATGAAGGCATATCTCGAGATGAGGCCGCTGCGTGTGTGCGCAACCACAAGAGGAGCACCAGGGCAACAAGGCCTTGAGAGGAGGAGCAGGTCTCCACGGGCTCAGTTGTAGGTTTGCTAGGGAGAAGATAAAAACAAGGCAAATACTGTTGCCGGAAAAGAAGACATCACCCACAGGGCTCAGGGGGCAAAATGCCTGGAATTAACCTGCCTTTGCAAATCAAGTGCTAGCCTTAGCTGGGTTACATAGATAAGGGGAGCTTTGTATTCATATCCCCGGGGATAAGGATACAAAACTCCTGTGTCTATGAACCCCCTGTAATGCTAGCCAGCGGAGGGCTTCCCCAAGGGCCCTTGGAATGCCTCAGAGTTAGGGCTCTCTCCATCCACCTACAGACCTTGCGCACCTGACAGGCTTTCCCTCTGGTGCCAGGAGGTCTCCAGGGCACATTAATGCCTCCCTTAGCCCCCTTAGTGGAGAAAGAGTGGCGCCAGGCCACCAGAGGGCTAAAAAGCCCTGCTTCCCACACTGAATGCCCAGAGGTGGCAGCAAAGGGGCCAGACTTCTGCCCTTGTTCCA